AACCAACAACTGAATTAACATTAATTTAGTTTTTTTTTAATTTGGTGTTTTCAGTTTACTTGTATGTAAATATAAAATATAGATAATGTAAAGGCGACCTTGTTCTTTAATGTTGGAAAACATTAATTAAATGCATAATAAATGTGAAGGGGAACAGGCCTGTGGGTGTCATGACACCTACTCTGGCACTGATGAAATTTACTGAACACTCTCATGCTCAACCGTTTTGACGTTAATGACCTTGTGGCCCTCTAATAGCAGAATGGTCAGTATGTTGTTGTCCTGTAAGGCTCTTTCATTTGGGGCGTTGACGATCATCGTGACTTCCAGGGGTGTGGCTTTAGACTTTCAGTCTTTTTGGACAAATCAATAAGTTTACATGTGGCACATCTCAGAGAAAACTTCATCTTAGAAAGAGAAAATGAAGAAAAGAGTCTGACTGACCAGTCATCAGACCACTGCTAATATTTATGACTTGATGATGACATCAGCAGACACAGAAAAAGAAGTAGGAGACTAATATGGGACAATCTTCTCAGATGATCATGTATCTGACAGCCACAAGACAGGATCATTTAGGAGAGAATTACAGGTAATTATTATACACAGTTAAACGCTGTGAGCTGTTTCGGGTAAAGAGTACTGGCTCTGTTTTGAAGAGACTTTATTGGCACTGGCATCCAGGACAGGAGCCTCATATTTGTCCTGCTCTGCTCTTGTAACAGATCCCCTACAACTGCTTGTGTGTGTGTGTGTGTGTTTGTGTGTGTGTGTGTGTGTGTGTGTGTGTGTGTGTGTGTGTGTGTGTGTGTGTGTGTGTGTGTGTGTGTGTGCGCGCGTGCGTGTGTGTATGTGTGTTTTAATGTACCCTGAGGAGAGGAGAGAGGTGGGACAGGTCAGATTCAAGGCACTTAAGTTGATTAAAATCTCTCTCGACTGCAGTACCTCCTCTCCTTCATGCCTTCACTCTCATCTGCTCCTCATCTCTTCTTTCCTTCCCTCTTTCCTTCCCTCTACTCTTCTCTTCCTCCTTTTCAGAAAATGCTGCAATAGACCATCCTTGTTAACAACAGCAGGAGGGGAATAGGCAGTTTCCTGCCTGACTGAAGAATCATAAAAAGCTTTATTGTAATGTGTAATTTAATAATATCCATCTTTCCATTATTATCCAAACTGATTTCTATTTGCTGCTTTTCTGTGCAGTATTAATCAAACCACCTGAAACATACATTCGGTTGTCAGTTTATTAGATACACTGAGCTAAAACTATTTGTGAAGGTTATAATGTTCAGTTTTTATTGAAATTGTTTAAAAGAGGTGTTGATTAGACCTTATGATAATTTTGGACAATGTAGTTTGAGCCGTTGCTGAACTGTATTGCATTATAGAAAGGGGTGGTTCTGTCTTGGCAGATCCTATTTGCACCATGGTATCTGTAACCAGCAATGCTAAACTGAATATCATAATAATAATAAAAAAAAACAAGAGAAGCCAACTAAGTCTAAAAATAAGTAAATACTAACTTTTTATACACACAAGAGTCAAACTCCTGTCTCTTGGGGGAGAGTCATGTTCAACAGTCCGTGCTCTCCTGTACGCTGTTTTTAACGGCACAAAAAATAAGTCACTAGCGAACCACTGCACGTTCCATACGGTGTAAATAGTCGACCAGCTGCTGTGTGACTATTTTCACCCGGATGCAAATAAACACTCTGTTCTGTTATTCAGTCAATCATCATTGATATAACTGGGACAAATTAATAGAAACGACTGTCACTATATTAAAATACAATTCAGCTGCAGCCTTCAAAGTGACCATTTTTTCACTGGCTGTACCTCATGAACTGACAGCTGAGTGTTTTGTAAAGGCAATTCCAATTTACACTTTAAAGCTGAACTTCATACTAACAATGAGTCAGACGGCTGTGATGTGAAAGCTGACACCTTACAGTTCTCTCCCAGCCTTAAAGCCTGCTCACACCGGAAGATATATAACATGCAACACAAGTTTATGAGGTGATCATCTGTCAGTGTTATGTTTTTATCTTATTTGAATGGCCCTGAGTGGATAAACTTATCTCTTAATGCTGCTTAATGCTGCAACAGGACAAGACACACAAACTGACACGCAAACAGTCAGACACACGCACAGTCAGACGAATCTACAGGTAGGTTAATAAAGCACTTGATCTACAGGTCAAACCGAATCTGTTTGAGAACAAAGCGATGTGGTGTTTCCAGTGTTCTGCTGTTTTTACACTATGGAACAAGCAGCTAAAGAGAGAGAGACTCAGAGAGTTAGAGGAGACTCAGTGTTTGACAGTGTGGTGCAGACAGATTGAGAGCAGCAGCAGGTGGTTTAACCTGCTACTTTCAGCAGACGGATAGTGTTGCTGTACCTGAAGTATCTACTGTCTACAGCGAGGGCCATCCTGCAGCTTCATCAGCTCCTGCTCCAAACAGCTCACATGAAAATCTACAGTCTGTACGGATCAGGTCTGAATCAGGAGGAGGGTCTGTAAAGTGTGACAGATGTTTACAACACGCAATTTGATTAATAATCTGCCTCACAAGTTTGTTCGCAGATCTCAGTGAAACAACAACATAACAACATTATTATTACCATCAGGAACGTTGAGCAGCTGTAACATGATGAGAACAAGTGAACGACACAACATAATTCAAGCTTGAGCTGTATATGCTGTGCTGCTCCTGTCATTATTACCAGTTAAACGTGCCCATGACTTGTAATGAGCTTGCTCAGATCACCTCTGGTTTGTTTCTAACAGGACAGTCTCAGCAGGTCTGATTGATCAACTGTGATCACTGAAAGTCAAGGACCTGTTCCTAAAATAAAACCTGCGACTTTTTTTTAGACAAAAATCAATTAAAAAGTTGTAAGTTTCAGGTTCATTGGCAGCAAACCATATATTATCTCACCTGCAGATCTCAGTATATTCAGTCTTAACATAACTCCTGTTCTCTTCCGTCTGAATTCAGTGACCACTCTGTCCTGTCTGTTTCTAACTCTGTATTTGACTTGCATATGATTTGATCTTCTTCATTGGCACATTTGTTACTTCGCAACTCCAGGAATCATTACCTGTCGTGGTTATTTGAGATGTGTAACACGCACAAACACACACACACATACACACACACACACAAAACATTCCCACTATTCTGAGCATGACTTCCATCTAATAAGCACAACAGTTGTTGTCTCCTGCACCAATAAAACCCAACAGTTGTCCCTTTACAGCTTGGTGCAGACGTGCAGTGTGTGTGTGTGTGTGTGTGTGTGTGTGTGTGTGTGTGTGTGTGTGTGTGTGTGTGTATGTGTGCCCGCTGGGAATGAATTTGTGAGGGTAGGAGACATTTAGACTGTTTCTTCATAAAGCCACTCACTTTTACACACTCACTATTACACACAGGCTCTGATATCCGATGTCATCAATAATGGGTGTGGCCACTTAAAGGGACACTGCACCAGTGTTACACATGAGGATCATTACTGCTTGAGGTCAGTGTGAACACTGTTGTATGAATGTGTAAAGCCTGACTGTGATAGAGTTTAACATGTTTTCTTCAACTGACACAAAGATTTGAGTTGAGCTAAAAGTGTAAAAGACATGAGCTGTGTCCCAATTCAGGGGCCGCATCTTTTGGGGGAAGTGGTCTGAGAAGTCATGGACCTAGGTAGCCATCATGGACCACAAAGGCAGAACTGAAATTAGACTGTCGGGTCTACAGATGATTTCCTTGTCACCAGCTGTGCCTGCCATTACCATTGCTCCAAAGCACCTATAGCAACCTTGACAACACGTAACTTTTTATCACAAAAACTTGAGGTCTTAAGGCCCTTGCTGTTGAACTGAGCTGAAAGACAAGTCTCACATTTAACAGTGTAATCCTCAGTCTCTCTGTCTGTGTTGTTTGCTGCCATATTATTTTCATTATCAGCACGCAATGATTCTTGGGATAGGTTGGGCTATGAAGGATCCACCTATTAAAGCCTTTGTTGTCTAGGAAAAGAAGGATGCATTTGAAGGAGCCTTTGAGATGGGACAGTCTAGTTGCACTGCTGTGACATAATTGGTCTTTAGATGCAGCCTCTGAAGGATGTGGCCTCTGAAGTGGGACACAGCTGTAGTGTTTTCTAGGCAGGGAGAGTAGGATCCAGTACGGACAGTCAAGATATCTAAAATTTAAATCTAAATATGAAATGCCTGGAGTCACCCACAAAGCCATGCTGTGGTTTTCTTTTGTTGTGCCCACAAATCAGTAGCCACATGTTATCTGTATGATTAAGTTTTTGTTTCCTTTTTTTCATTTCGATATAGCGGGAGAAAGATTGTTCACCGTGTAGATCCAAAGTTGAGGATACAAGGAATCCAATTTTAGGCAAGGGAACCAGTTGGAACCATTAACTTCCCTTGTTGCAGCATCCCTGCAGGACCTCAGCAGGCTGCATTAATGTCTCTTCATGTAATGCCACCATCCTAAAGTCACTCAAAACCAAACCCACAGGGCTCTGCTGAGATTATCTGAATTCATACTGGCTTGTACCAGACATTCAGTTATATGTAGACTGTGATAGTATGAAAATAAATGACTGAGGTGTTAATATCTGTCTATAATATTTTCAGGCTGTTTTATGTGACATTTAGTGAGATATTCATGTATGTTTTTTATCCATAATCTGTTTTAATTTCGTGGGTTCATTGATTGACCTGTTAAACTGTTTGTCTGTATTAGTTGCGCCTTGCACCTTAACATTACCTGAACCGATGGCACAGTGCAGTGGTTTCTTTTTTTCTCTGGAGCAGCGTTGGTGAAATTTGGCACCGTGTGCTCTTCCCTTCTGTCTGACAGGAGAATCAAACCTGTTCTCGCGAGAGGAGCGGTCTGGACTATGTTTACAAGCAGTACTTATTAGCAGCAGTCTCCCCCTACCGTCACTGCTTTACGGTCCGGCTGAGTGAATGTGGAGTGGACGCGCTGCTGGGAGGACGCAGTATCGACATTTGGTCTCGGACAGCCGGCCGGACACCTCTTCTTCAGAGAACGCTTTCAGTCGCCCACCAAGCCCCGGTCCGGTGTCGTTGTTTTGCCGCCCAGCAGAGCGAGGTAAGGAGGGGAGAAGTCAGCGAGTCGTCGGCTGGGGTTTGGTTGGCAGGGTGGTCAGGTAGGACAGAAGCACTGGCAGCTGTGTTACTGTGCTGATATGAAATGTCAGTGTTACGGCTCGACAGAACCACAGCCTGGTGAATCTGTTCTCCTCCAGTCTGCACCGGGCGACAGCTGCAGACCCACGAGGCTCGTGCAGTATTTAACACTGTTTATCTCGTGCATGACGGATGTGATGACCTTTAATCTTACATCCTCGGTAGTCATGGTTACTGGCCATTTCTCTGTCTCCACAGAGCCAGTGCCAGGTCAGCCTGTCCGCATGCCGTACGTGCGGTCCTCCTGCACGGGGAAAGCGTCAGGCCAAACTCCCTTTCAAATATTGGCAATCTCACTTTCCCTTGTTTATCGGCTCATATGCTCAGCTCATGGATTATTGGACATCACCTCTGAATCCACAGGAGCAGGGTGTCTGTTCGGCATAAATGTAACCGCTGAGGAATAATTAGTTTTAATGTAATTGTACTGTAAGTAGACGGTGCTTTGTATACTACTGCACACAAGCTTGTAGGAAGAGCAAGTAAACGCAGGTATGTGTGTTTTCAGATAGAGGGGCATTAAAATGTTAAAATATAGAATTTAATTGTGCAACACTGTAAAGTGTTGGTGGCAGGAGGAGGCTGGAGAGTAGCATCTGGGAGATGGATGGATGACGGCGTCATGTGGCTGCTGTGTGTTGTTGGAGTCTTCCGTTACACACGTTCTCTCTCTCTCTCTCTCTCTCTCTCTCTCTCTCTCTCTCTCTCTCTCTCTCATACACACACACACACACACACACAGTGGACTCAGGTTGGACCTGTGTTGATGAAATGCTTTAACCACACTGAGGCCTTCCTAACACATCTCTAACAACACTGTTTTTCACAGAGACTGACTCAGCATCATCACCGGTGTCTGGCTTTATTAAAGGCACATTACTATAATTAGGTTATTTGATCCAGATAGTGTCATTATTTGCCAGCAGAGGCACTTGTGTGTGTGTCCAGCCTTCAGTAGCTGACTGTCTGTAATCACCTCCTCCCAGGAGCTGAGTCTGTTTCATCTCTCAGACTCAAACAGCTCAGATCTCCACCACAGTCTCCTGTGCTGCACGTTGCATAACAGTGGGTGCTTTCAGGGATGCTGCATGTTGGCTGAAATCAGAGGATAGATGAGCTCAGGCCAAGTTAGTTGATGATATGTTAGTGTGTGTGTTAGTGTGGTTTATACACAGTGATCCCCTCCACAACCACCACCACCACCACCACCACCCCCCACCCCCACCCCCATCCCCTGCGGCTGCAGCTCTCTGTAGCCTGAATTTAATACCTCTGTAAGTAATAACAGTAAATGCACTTTGGCAGCAGGCAGTGCACATTCTTCATCCTCAGAGGAAGAGCTGCCAGAGTGTAATCACTGCTGCAGGTTCACTGAAGATGTGAATCTTTAACAACAGCTCACTAATGTATAGTTTAATTCATTCTAAAATTTCAGTGGTAAAACTGAAATGTTTTAGATTTTATTAAATGTGTGTGAGTGAGTGACTGTCCTGGGTTCTCACTCACTCACACACACAGACACACACACACACACACACACACAGTGAATTAATAGATATTTTGGTTTCTGTCTTGTCTGAGCTCAATGATGGTGATCATCACAGTAACAGGGAGGTCATGATACCAAGACCATGTCTTGATACCATGGTACACACACACACACACACACACACACACACACACACACACACACACACACACACACACCTCCATATAGTCATTGTACAGTGGTAGTTTAAACCGACTAACATGGTTACCGAAAGTCAGTGTTATATTTTAACAGACTGAGCAGTGATAACCGTAGCTGCTAATGTTGTGGGCACCCAGCTCACGATATGAGCTGTGTTAGCTGTGCTATGTTAGCCTAAACAAGCTAATGTTAGCCTAAACAAGCTAACGTTAGTCCCTGATGATACGCCTCAAACACGAGTCTTTAAGTGTTTTTTTCCACAAGTCATGTAGACCTGTATTTGCACCTGCTGCCGTCACTCCACTTGTTGTTATTGTTTACTGCATCTAGCTTCTTCTTCTTCTTCTTCTTCTTCTTCTTCTTCTCTTTGTGTTTGACATCAGACTAGAACCCTATATTGTTATTGTTGTTATTATACTACCCTCATCAGTAGAAGAATCGCATTTCCAGTAGCTACTTGAGCTCTCTCTGGTACCTTCAGCACTGTAGAAAATTAAGTACCGTCACACAGTGGTGTGCAGTGACTTTTACAGAGCTGAAGAAGCAGCTACAGTCCAGTGACAATCCAGACTCCTGTATATTCCTCCCTCAAACCCTTCACCCTGATAAACAGAGAGGGAAAGATGTCACATGTTGACCAAAGTGATTAGTAAGACCAGAGCCGGTCCTGACCTGCTTGGGCCTCAGGGACCCTCCTACCTGACCTGTGAGCCATGTTAAACAAGTAGTTTCCACATACATGTGTATAACAATGCTCCAGTCTCATAACTGATCTCAGAACTCTCAACGGGACATGGCCACGCCCACGAAAATGACAGAAACTATAGATACAACGGCTGGAAGTCGTTAGCTTCAGGGACACTACGCTGCTGCCACCACAAGAGGGCAGTAAATTACATGATGGATGCAGACAGGCATCAGATCCTTTATGGGATGAAACACTGTTCTGAGTTCAGATACAAGGAGAGATATCGTTTTTAACTGAGGTCTGTTTTTACTGATGGTTCGCCACCGCTGTCACGTTTTCAGAATTTTGGTATCAACTTGGTCCCAAAGTATCGGTTCTTGTGACCTCCCTGAGGTGGATGTTCTGTACTTTATTTTGTACTTTATTCATTTTTTTACCCACATGCATAATGATGACAACCTTGTAAGTGGTTCAATCTTTGTAGCAAGTCTTGACCTAGATCCTGAATGAGGCGGAGTTGAAGTTATATTCAGTCTAATCAAATGGTTTTGTTGTAGTGCTGCAGGTCTCTGGTCCATGTGTTAATATGTCTAATTCCTTGATGGGTCAGAATGGACTCTGTGTTGGCTTTGATTATGCTTTCATCATCATCATCATCATCATCATCATCATCATCATCATCATCATCATCATCATCATCATCATCACAGAGGCAGTGTTTTTGAGTGTGAACATGTATTGCTGGTCTTATTATTGGTGGATCGTCAGGCTCCTGCTGTGGTCCACAGGTCTGGTTTAGAGCAGGTCTAGAACTGTGGACCTGTGAAGACCTGAACAGTTTGTGCTGGTCATTATGGACTGAATGAAGCTTTGAAAATCAGGCTCTAACAGGCTACATAGATAATAAAATCATCAGTCTCCACTCTGGTCTTTTCATGTGATTAGTTGACAATAAGAAAATGAAGAATATCACCAGACTTATTCAGACATGTCCCATTGAAGTGAATGACTAACCCTGACTGTCTCTCACAACCCTGGGGAGGGGAGCCTTTTACCCTTTCATCTCCATAATACATGTGTTTATTCATTGATCATTTATCTGATAAGACACATTCATTTCTGCTGCCCAAGATGCTACTTTTAAGGATAAAGAATAAACACGTTTAATGGCTGTAAAACCAATCATGATAAATAAGTGTGATCACGTTACTGAGGAGAAGTATTATCATTATATATACATCCTACAGACATATCATTATAGCATTAAGCTGGTTTCATGTTAAAACTACTAGCATGTTATAGTTTCCACAGTACACTGTAACACTGCAGAGGCAGTATGTGATGTGCAGCTTGACTTGCGACCTACACAGCCGTGGGCAGGGTGAGTGAAAAGGTTCCATGTGGGGGTGTTCAGGAAAAAAAGGCTCTGTTTATACTGTTCAGTGATCGTCTTGACAAAATCGAAATATTAAAAACAGAAAGAAAGAAGTCCTGTCTCCATGATGGGAGTGAACACCGGCTTATCTGGAGCAAATGCCCCAGGGACACACAAACACTGTGGTGCCAACTTCATCAGCCCAGGAAGTCGTTCCATGTTTACTGCTAGGGTGTGGCTTATACAGTTCATTACAGCATGTTTAATCAGAGTAGGTACCACCACAGCTACAGCTACAGCTACAGCTACAGCTACAGCAGTACTCGCTCCTCGAAGCATGAGCCTCAGACAGCTCAGATAGCTGACAGCGACCAGACAACCCGACTTGATACTGTGGTGTTCATCAACATGAGCCACAGAGAGCTCAGAGAGCCTCGCTCCAACCTATTTCCTCCCTGGAGGAGAGATGCATTCATGTTATAATGAAATAAACAACAAGAGGCAGCTGAGCTACAGCAATCTACAGTACTGACAGTTACACCACACAACCTTCCCTCGATTACGGTAATCAATCAATCATGACATTATTGATTTGGAGCTTCATTCAGACTCTGCATGTTACTTTACAACATAAAGTATGAGAGACAAATATCCTGAGTTAATTAATATTCTGAAATATTCTAGTGATATTTAAAATGAGATAAGAGTTTAATAAATATTCAGGTCTCTGTCTGTGAAGTGATTAAACCACAGGAGCTTCTTCTTTACATCCAAATGAAGTCAGATTTATAGTATCCTATATTTCTCTTATTGTCAACAAATCACATGTTCAGACCTAAATCAAAAGTCATTGTATCCTAACAATGAACATATCCTCCTACCATGAAGATTAGTTTATTTGACTCGGTCACACACCCGTGCACACACCATCCTGCTGCCCCAAATACTCACCAGAGCACCAAATGTGGATCACTCCCCCACTGAAGATCAGTCCCAGTAACTGTCTCATATCCTGTTGAAGTGTAAATACTTCAGTCATTAGTGTCATATTGAGTACATATTCATTTTTGTGTCCCGCACCATAGGAAATAAAAATAAGAAATTTGAGCCAAATGTAAAAAAACACCAATATTAAAATATTTTATCACA